GCCAGGTGGCCGTGCGTGTAGCAACTGAGTGTGTCGGACGTGCATGGATGGATGGTTGGATTGGATGCATGAATGGATGGACTGCATGGATTGCATGGATGGATGGATTGATGGGCGTGGATGAAGGGATAAATGGATGGATGGTTGGTTGGATAAGCGGATAAATGGATGGTGCGGTGCATAGATTTCGCTGACGTCTTGTGGTTGGCAGCGAATAAAACTTGGGGGAAGCGTTCGGGGTATGGTTCTGAATGCGCCAGTATTTTGGGTAAAGCATTTTGACAGTATCATGATCTCCTCATGCTGTTGGTGGTCTCCTGGTGATCTGCTGGCGGTCTCTTGGAGTCCCTGGTGGTCTCCGGTGCTCCCTTGCTGGTCTCCTGTGCTCTCTTGGTGTTCTCTTCATGGTCTCCTATTGTCGCGGTCACTTGCTCTCTTGTCCTGGTGGTCTCCTGGTCTTGGTCGTCGTCCTGGTCTTAGTGGTGGCAGTGCTCGTCGTGGGTGGCAACATGGCATCTATTCTGATAAAACACAGATGGCGACTAGTTGCGACCTGTGTTTTTCTGAAACAATTCAGGCCCGTTCGCATGCGATAGCGATCGCGACGCGCTGTCCTAACGGCAACCTTCTGTTATGGTCCTTTGCTGTTCGGGGATCTGTTCGGTACCTCCGCTGTTAGCATGGTATAGTGAGGCACGACTATATCTTCGCAGAACGTGGGAGAATGATGTGTGTGCAAAAGAGCATGCATACATGCATGTATATGCATACATATGTATGTATGCATGTTTATACACCCACTAAGCATATGTATATATATATATATGTATGGTTGAAGAGTCTTTTTTTGTGCAACTTGTGGCCGCCCCAGGACGAGCGATTTCACGACCTCGACGGACAGTGGCCTCGGTGTGCCGGCTCCATTGGCCGGCTTCGCTTTGCCAAACTTCCTAGGAGATGAAGAGCAAGATGTCATTCGGCCGCCGTCATCAAGGCGTGCATATCCATCCAGAGCCCACACAACCATGACTTACTGTATGAACTGACAAGTTTTAAGGCATGTCCTGGGAGACCTGCTTCGAGATCAGGGTCGGAGTTTCAAGCACACGGACAGAGGGGGGTTAAAGTCTCATCGGCAGGACATGTCTCCGAGTCTTTTTGCTGAGTCGGCTGAAGCAGCACGAGTGCTGTCTTCGCCATCCAGCGATACTTCATCTCGGGCTGAGCCTTTGACAGTAATCAAGTCTCACACGCCAACGTCAGGGCGAGTAACAACTGATTGTGTATCTCACCTGATCCAGGTCAGGGCTCCGTCCATTTACTCCTGATTTTCGCACATCCTCCAAAGGACCGGATGTGCATACAAACAGTTCATACCCATCCACCTGGCAGCCCAGCCGTGCCAGCAGTGATGGAACAGATTGCAAGCCAGCCGAGCGCAATGCCCATGACCGTAGATGTCTCGAGGTGAGGGTAGCTGGTCTGCGAATGAATACGCAGCCATCATAAAGCGGAATGAATAAACTGCTACGCTTTGATGTGGTATTCAGATAGCTGCAGCTGGAAATCAGGCAAGACGAATCTGTTTCCCGCTGCTTGCTTGCGCAGCTTCCGCTCCAGAGGACAAGTCTTTAGTGTCGCGAAGGTGACTCTCGTGTGCGCACACATGCGTTCCGAACCGCGACAGCTCCCTTCAAGTCGTGCAGGTCCGCTCAGGCTCAGGAATGGAGCGCGCGCAACGGACAGACACATTCCCTGGCATAGATGCTGTTTCTGAGCCAGAGTTGACACGTCGTAGCTCGCGCCCGGCAGGTGGCGACGGCCGAACCCCCTCATGCTGAAATGTAGACCTATTAAAACTGTAGTATAGTATACCCCAAACCCCATTCAAATTATTAAGGCTTTCATCCGACGCTTACTAGGTCCGCTTTCTCATGGCTGACGCTGCCAGCTCCGGGCTGTCTCCTAAGTGCCAAGGGCACGACAGTCGTGCATCTGTAGATAGCAAGGCCATGAAGCTACCGTGACACAACCATGCACTATCCAAACCAACAGCAGTGGAAGAAACCGTAAACCAAAAGTCGTCGTACCATCAAAGACAACATGCTGTCAACCAGAAAGGTCACAATCACAAGTACTGCAACACCATCCGTGAGAAGTGCTGGGAGAGTGCCGAGTACAGTAGGCGACTGACTACCATCATTACCACCAGCGCAGTAACAGCAAAAACAAAACTGATTCAAAAATGAGTGGCTGTGTTGGTCGAGATCTGGACGAGGAAACAGAATTCTGATGATTGCGACGACCACCATCGTCCATCACAACAGCACCAGCTTTCGAGTACCAGCAACAACAAGCAATGCCGAAAGCAAGGCCAGCAGCATGGTCAGAAGGACTTGCAGGGCTCATTGACGCACCCGACAAGGTCCTCTGGCTGCCCTACCAGCAGGAACATGAAAACAGTACGAAACGTGCTGATGCACAAACGCTCTCGGAATATTTGGAGGCTCCGAGTAGCATAGATCATTGAATAACCCCCCAAACAGTCGCTCAAGCGATCCATTCAGTCTTATTTGCCTCAGATGACCTGTCAGAGATTATGGTGGCTTCACAACGGCCTTCCAGTCCCTTCACTTCCTGCTGATATCTGAAGTTGCGGTATTTTTTCCTTCCGTGATTGTCTCAGTGTGCTCCTCGAACGATGCTGACCCCAATGCAAGCACGAACTCTTGATCGTGCAGAGATTGGCCTCGGCCCTCGCATCGTCAAATGAAGCCCTGAGACACTGACGCGTTTCCTGCTGCACGACTGCGCTTGATACCAACCTTGCGCATCCATGCTCGCATCTTAGTGTGACTTCACGGGTGGTTATTGTGTGCACAATACTTTGATAATGATACCCGTTCAATTGAATTCCAGGTAGCTTTCGTAGGGTAGGCAGTTATTGCTGAGTCACGACTAGCTGATATATCTCTCGGCATGGCCTATGTGAGGGTTTCTGAAAATAGGGGACCCAAATATAGCACCCCAAATAGTAGGATCCTTATTATAAGGACCCCAAAATAAGGTACCCTTATTTTCGGAAGCTCCCATATCTCTCGGCATGGCCCATGTGGCAACAGCAATCACTTCTGCTTAGCATCTCGCAGTCGTACCGGCGTCAACGCACTTAGAATGAGCCGCACCGGATGGGTCCGAGGCACTGGAAGTCGCGAGCAGCAGACGAGAGGTTCTGCGACCCCATGAGTCGAAGACCTCGAATCAGATGCATTCCATGTCCCCTAATATGGGTTATAATTATAGCTACCCTACTTATAACCCCACTTAGAACTCCCCATGTTTCTGAAAAGACACTTCCCTTTTCTGCTGGCTCACGCAAGTGTCGACTCAGAGGCCCAAACTCGCAAGCCTTGTTCCAAGTAGTTGTTTCTGGAGCCGGCCTCCGAGATCATGAAGCGTGGAATGTGCAGCAACATGAGCTGCGGCAACAGCTAGCGATGTTTGGTCAGTATTCGGAGTCCAGAAGTTTCGAAGTCTAAGCCATCTGCCTTTTGTTGTTTTAACGAGCCACTTTAGCTGCCAGCACATGATTTGAAGTCCTGATCTCAACGTGCGCTACAGATGTTTATCACCCGGGCATCGGAAGTCAGAACTTGCAGGTGGAGGGGTAAGACGCAAGTTTTACTGATTGCGTCGACAGTTGGAGTAAGATGAAGCAAGGGATACGGCCAAGGCTCTTCGAAATCAAGAGAAGGCATCGCACAGCCTAGCACATCTGTTCTAGGGGTCCTTAACTATCTATCTAGCGCTCTAACATTGGCCCTTGCACGGCTTAGAGAGGGACTTGAGCAAAGTGCATTTGGGGGGTGCTCGAACTTCGACGGTAATGTTAAGCAGGTGTGCTTGCCATTCTCGTATGTACTGCTGGGATTGCATCAGAGAGCATTGTTCAACACGTAATCCTTGAAAAGAATTCAACTGGCCCTTGACCCGCAGAAAGTCACCTATGGCCCTATGGCGACGAGAGTTGAGGCATGGTGCTAGAGTGCTTGTTTTTCGTTTCTCCTATCTAGTATCTGCAGTATCCGCACACATAGCAGCACGTTCCAGCCGCCGGAGGCTGTTGAAGGTTTTGCATTCGAGGTTCGCAAGCCCTCTGTCCGTCTCTATGATGCGTTCCTTTTCTACCCCTGGGCGCGAAATACGTGTGGCAAAGTCGAACTTCGAAGAGGCAGACTTGGGCCTTGCGCCCTTAGCTCAAAAAGGTGGTCCTCGAGTCCAAGGACTGTCGAGCCACCGCCTGCGCCGTAGAGTCCTCCTGTCGCACTGGTACACCATGTAGGCGGCCACAGCGGTGCTTTGCACATATTCTGGTCAGAGACCAGATGTGTCCATAGCCTGTCCTCAGATTCATGCAGTGTGTATCAACAGGAAGTGTAGATCGATTCGTGCCACCCGCCTCGCAGAGGAAAAGCCCAGGCTTGATCTGTTTCCGCTGGTTTGTCGGGCGCGGTAAATCTTGTCCACCGTCGCATGCATTGCAGCATGAAGCTTCGCTTGTTCTGGACCAGTTGGGGCATCGGACATTGTGTTCTGCAACCTCCTTTCTGCAAGAGGGTTAGCGAGGTTACAAAGAGGGAAGCAGCACTGGAGTGACAAAGAGAGAGGGACCTTGGATCCCTGAGCAAAGCAAAAAGCAAAGGTACCTTGGATAACAAGCCCGCCGCTCTCCAAACAGACAAAAGCAAGCAAGCCACGAATAAGATTCCGCTTGAACTCCCCTCCTCCGTTCGAAACCGGGGAGACTGCCCACCCTCATCCACCCGGCCCAACCCTTTGCCTTTACGAACCCAGTCTTACACAAGGGCTTCTTTCCTGAAGTCGGCAGCCCTAATGCACAATCCTGAACACTAGATGGCCCGAGAATAGACAAGAATGCAAAAAAGTGCAGCTGCAAGAAAGGAAAGGGTTTCGGTCTCCTGTGGCGGAATTCTACCAAGGACCCCGCTTTCGCGAACGATGGAGAGCCTGTAGACATGTCAGCGGCTCGGTGCCACTGTCGGCCTGTTCGGAGCTGAAGAGCAGAGTAGAAAACCGCCATCTTCGGCAATTTGGGAGTTTCCGAAAATAGGGTACCCTAATATAGTACCCCAAATACTAGTATCCTTATTATAACGACCCGCAAAATAAGGTACCCCTTATTTACGGCAACTCTCATTTATTCCTGTTGAAGCTTCAGAGGCGGAAGGGCGTTGCTCTCTTTGCCGCAGGCACGAGTACATCGAGCGCGGCAATCAGATGGTGAAGGCGGAGCCTGACTCCCGACTATTATGTGTTTTTGAATGACCTGGGCCGGTTGCCTGCGGCCGTCGGCCGCTGAGACGCTTCGTGATTCGGGCGACGGCCATCGCAATGAAATTTGGCAGTAGCCGTGCTGGGAGCAACAGTGATCGTGTTACTACTAGTATTCTCAATGGCCCTCAAGTCACAGTCGAAGCAGCTGCAGTCAGTTCGACCCTGATGTGCGTTTCCACATGACGCTGCCAATCTTAGTCTTCCTTCTGAAATGACGACAGACATGAGCCCAAACTCTCCGGTTGCCCTGCAACTTTTCAGTTCTTGCGGCAGGCAGGGAGATTCAAAGCAGCTGCGGGCCTCTTCTCAGAGGAAAGCCCATGGCAAGCACCGGGCAGACTCAGACGGGCTTAAGATAGGGGCCTTCATAATCAGAATAGGGCTTTGGGGTATATTCTACTATAATTATAATTACAATAAGGAATCCCCAAAACCCTATTCTAATTATTAAGGCCCCGATATTAGATAGGCTTAGGCTCTTTCGGATCCATTCACCGTCTCTGAGAGGCACTCAAGGCCTGCTCTCAGCAGCGTGCCGTGGATCTCGACCTGGAGGCACGGACAAATCGGGAGTTGAAGCGGCATGCCGGAGCACCTCGATGGTTGCAGGGAGAAAGCCCAAGCAAAAGCCTCATCTCAGACCTCTCTTGGTCTTATATATCATCTTCCGATACTGCACCCCTGTGCCAGGTGGACATCATCAAGTCGCGCTTGGTGCCAAGATTAATCGCTCAGAGAGTACTCTGCCATTTGCTTGGAGGATCATGGGACTTAGTAAGTGAGGTCATAAGTCCCTTCATTGGGATTATACGTGTAGTTACCCTACTTATAACCCTACTTACTAAGTCCCATGATCCTTTAAGTAGGTTCTTAGTCGTCCACACCACCGCACAGCGGGAAAGGCGTGCAGGGGGCTCAAGCTGAGGAGCGAAGTGCTGGAAAGCCCTTGGCTGCTTCTCTGAGCTCAAGGAGGAGAGAGGGCCGAGGGCCAGGGCGGCGCCCATTCCGAGCCTTGCCTCGCTGCAGGATGCCTCCAAAGTCTTGAAGTTGACTGGGAACCGCGACAGCGATGCTTTGCAGTGGCACAGGCCGTGCTCAGAGAACTCTGGAGTGGGAGTTTGCTTCCGTGAGTCAGGGCGGCAGACGAGGGCCTCCAGCACAAGAGCCGCAATCGGGACCGGGAAGTGCTGCAGCCGCGGGAGGCCTCCGGGTGTGTCCTTTGCTTGAAAAAGCACTCCCAAACCCATCTAACCGAGTTTGTGCTGCATGCTGGGACATTCCATGGGAGGCGCCGCCCATGACCGGCAACGCGCACGAGCCTTACTCGCGGACATGAGGCACTTTGTTGAACAGTTCTGTTCTGTCGCTTTGACAGCTTGCAGCCGCTAGAACGCCGAGGAACGGCTACGGAGGCTTTGGCGCGAAGTGCTCTCAATGCCGGCTGCTGAGAATCAAGGATTTACTCGAAGCTGCCTCAGTGGGCACTTTGGGGGTAGCAGCAGTTTGCATGGCACATGAGGTCCATGTCACATGCCTTCGCATTTAATTTACACTTGGCAAGGGTCTGTAGCATGTTCAAGGGGAACAGGTGGCACATTGCTGGCCTTAGCAACACATACTACTTGCACTCACCGTTGAAAAGCTGGACGAGAATGCGAGGAAGGCCATGTGGATGCGCAAGCTGTCGGCAACCGTCGGCGTAGTGATTGTCAGTTGCACGAGTAGTACCAGCAGTATTAAGATTTCAAGTTTCATGGGGCTCACTACAGTTCCCATCCCCAAGCGGCCTCGAATAGCAAAGCCAAAAGGCAATGGTCTCGCTTCGAAGTGTGCTCAGTGTGGAGCAGGGCCCGGGAGCCAAGAGCTATGAGTTGCAGTATCTTTTATGGTGATCATGGCTGCAACAGCTGCCACAAAGTCACCACCACCACCACCACCACCACCACCAGCACCACCACCACCACCATCGTGGCGATGTTGTTGAGGTTGCTACTACTCTCAGTGCTACTTTTGGCATGGTTTTGCATGCTTTCATTACACGATCAGCGTGGTGGAGCGAAAGGCCAGTTGCGGGTTACAGCAGAACTGCAGTATACTGAACCGATGGTTCTCAAGCGTTCCCCGCGTGTTCCCAGTTCCACGGGGGCTCGGTACGGCGATGATTGCTACGATTCTTGCAGGTCTCAGAAGTTATATCACTGCACTCTTATCCGTATTTTGGGGAGAAGCATGGAGACCGCTGTGATACTGTTGAGAGCATCGATAGCAGCATTCTGAGCCAAGAATGGCTACTGGTGTTGGTGGTGCTACCAGCCTGCTTCTAGTATCGGGAGGTGCAAAGGGTGACCCTAA